CATTGCTGCTCAACGGTAAGGAATTTTTCTTTGTTTTACTTTTGATGTTAAGTCAAAAATCAAATAAAAGCCACGTCGCTTTGCGGTAATCGAAGCTTAGACCTCTATTTGACTGTCACAATGAGGCTTATTTGTAAAATCATGTGCAAGGAAGAGAATTCCTTTACATCAAAGATTACGACAACAGGGCTGTCAACCCCGATTTCACATATTTTTATCTTCCATTCCTAAGATTCACAAGCTGTGCTAAAATAAAACGGATTTGAAGAAAAGACAGGGGAAACTCAACAGAAGTCGTTATCACTGAATAATCTCTTGTTCGCCAACCCAACAAATAAGTCATACAATCAGAGAGCGAGACACTGAGATATGCGGAGATTAGCGGATATCACGAATTTTAAGCAACGTATACTGTTGCGTACGGGAAAGTGCTACTACGAAACAAGGCAAGTCATCAGTTTCAGAAAGACTGACTGCTCTTATATTATGAGACTGTTCTTATGGTTTTGCAACACGTTTAATACCGAAACACCAAGTGAACACAATTCGTATCTGATCCGTTCATTTCACTTTAAGTTCCGGTTTCATTGCTTTCTGAGCATACCTAGCTAATGACTATGTTGTTCGTCGTCACTGCCTCAAACCTCCTGCCAAAATACCTGGTCTGTTGTATGAACAGATCGTGACTGCCATCGTAACCGACGCTAGCAACGCCAGAGAAAGCTTCGTCAAAATGATCCAACCATTTACATGACAAGTTGACTAGCTGTAAGTCCAAGATGGAGGCGATGTATAACCAGTTTAATTCTACTTGCGCCGGAACTGAAACGTTCAAGGGCAGCGCTTGGCCTCACCTCATTCGGACTCTAAAGAAATCAGAGATATTCAGGAAATCAGTCCGGCAGAACCTATCCTGAATGTACTTAAAGCAATATTGATTACTAGATTGTTCAGAAATATTTCGTTATATCATTCGGATCTGTAGCTGAAAGGAACGTAGTTCTCACCCGTCAGAGCAGTAAAATTTTAAACTGATACTGAAGACCTGATCAAAATAAATGAAAAAACGCGATAATTAGTGATACGATAATTTGATGCTTCCAGTCCATTTCTACACCGAGACATCACCGGAAATCTGATTAAAGGTCTAAATGGCATGTAAATCACAAACTGTCTTCTTCATACATGCATCTTACACGGCTTTGCAATTTATTCGGAAATTTCGATCTAACATACTTTGTGAAAGACGCGGTTTCCAGACATTTAATACTGATCTATAGGAACCAGCTTTTATTTTACTTGAACGTCTGATACCTCGAAAATGGATCCGGTGAAATTATACCTAAGTCGATCAACTGATCGGTTATTAAAGTATTTCGATACATTGTGTGCTCATTAACTTAACGATCCTGAAAAGTGTTAATTACTGACAGGCTATTTAGAAAAAAAATACAGTAATCTGAAACAGTTTTGGCTCATGTGGGGCCATGTTTTATATCTGGTTATCGACTCCGATAAAATTTTCGATTTCGTTGAAATTCCTACCAGGAAAATAGATTTCGCATGGAATTGAGGTTACATTTCATGCTGTTATTACACTGGATAATCAGCTGTCAGGTATGTCTAGGTGAAGTGCAACCACGATGGGCTATCGCATCGAACAGAATGACCGTACACTTCGTCGATTCTGAAATGTCCAGACCAGAATATCATGTTGTGCCAATTAATTATTCGCGAGTCACCGACTTACTAACCATTTTTAAGCTGTTTATGAAAAACAACGTGTGGCCAATTTTTTAAGGGAATTCATGGTTAAAACAAGTGCTGTCCGGCAAATTCGAATCCGGCACCTGGAGTTAAGAGCTGACTACGTTGCAATTGTGTCACCACGCCCTCGTGACCGGATCGAATGTCAATTTTAAGACAGGCACGAATTCCTTCAAGAAGAATTCGTTGTGACTTTCGATATGGTGACTACTTCTGCGAGAACCGGTGTGAACTGCGACATCCAAATCCTAATTGCCAAAGGAACTGATTCATGAAAAAAGTGTCAGACTCTAAAGAAAATATTCTGGTCGATCTCTCGCCGTCTCAAAGTGGGAAAGAATGACCGTCTAAGAGTGCGCACCCCTTTTTACCAACGAAGAGGATATACTTTGTCGATGGAACGAGAGTACTTTGAGGAACTACTGAGCTTTGGGAAACCGCATGCCTGAAGAACATCGGGCAGTAAGTATTAAACTTTAAGCTGATTAGGTCAAAGAAGCTATAAAAGGCTTGAAAAGTGGCAAGGCTGCAAGAATCAATGAAATCTGCCCTAAGAAGTATGCTTTAAGCGAACAAAGCACGTTGTGATTAAAACGTGCCTGTGAAACCACAATGATTACGAGGAAGATACTAGTGGAGTTGAGAACTGGCGCTGTAGCATCCCTGTTCAAGAAGGGAAATCTTACTGAGTGCTCAAAATCCGGGAACATTACCTTACTGAGCCCCTCGGGAAGTTTAGCAAATGAGTTGGAAAGGAGGCGCGATGGAATAGCCGACTCAAAGATCCAAGAACGGCATGGGGGCCTTCGTTCAGGCAGAAGCACCTTTGACTAGATCTGCGCCGTACGCGAAATTGCTTAGAAATCATGGGATTTTTCTTATCCGGTTTACATGTAGTCTATAAACCTGGAAATAGACCATGATCCAATTCGCATTAAACGAGTTAAACAGTAAAGGGGAATCATTGATCGAAATATAATAAATTCTTATAAACTTCAAAACTAGTGCTAGATCCCATAGATTTCCTTCGGTAGTCACGTTTATGACGTTTCCAACAGATAACTGTCAAGTTTTTCACTGGAACCGCTACTACATTCATAGCTCTCTTTGTGGCTATCACTTATTATAAGTATTCTAACAGAGAATATGTTTGAGCGAACGCTAGCCGGTACTAATTTTACGGCTTAGCTGGTTTAAGTCGTAAACGTTATTATTCGATTGAATGATTTCGTTTGAAATCGCAAAATTTTAAATTTAGCGGTAAAAAGGCTCCATAACATTTAGATTTTGCATTGACTACGACCTTAGCGATTTTCGCGAAGGAGGAAAAGTAAACGGACGACCTCAATTTGCTGGAAAGACATTGAACAATTAGCTGGAGCTCATATCATTTGCAGAAAGCATCTGTGTTTCTTCAGTCAGAGTCAGAAAACATAAATACTGAATGGAATCTAGATGTTACTTTTCGAAGTCTATAAAAATTCAACGAAATTAGAGGACAACAGATACCAGTAGATGAAACTTTACAGGCTGGTTTTCACTGTGAAGCAAATCCGATGAAAGACTTTCCTGAATAAGGCCTGAGTAACCCAGTGGTAGATCATCGGCAGCATAATTGAAAGATGGCGGGTGGAACACTGATCGAAGTAACTGGACTCTCATTATTACGACGCAGATACATGAGCACTAATTCGTCGAAAAAAGCAGCACAGTACACACTGTACTGATGATAACACACCGATGTAGTTTTGAAAATGAAATGGTATGATTGATGGATGGCATCGAAGATCAACGACGCAGCAGCTGTTCCTTGAAAGTAGGTGTCTAAATCATGAAAATAGACTGAAGACCGACACCGCAACAGCTGCAAACATCCCTTCCATTTTCGCTTAAATAATACACAGCGATTGAATTTACGTATTGCGACCGTTAGAACATGCGCGTATTACGGTAAAAACAACACAGAACGTCAAGGCATGAAACTTTACAAATTTTTTTCCCGCAGGGGACAAAATCATGAAAGCATAGGCTGATCAGAGCTCAGTGAAAATTGATTTGCTGCACACTTTACATACCAAAGAAAATGGTAATCTCGAAAACGAACAACTTCCTTAATCAGCCCGCATGTTCGTGCTACCAAGCCGTTCGAAGCTAGCTGGTGCTGCCGTGTTTCTCGAACGTCGGCGCATTGAAAGTCATTGAAATGAGGTCCATCGATCGAAGTAACGCGTGAGGTACTACGCCCATCGGCGTTTCAAGATCAGATACGGCGATCCGCTGAAAGTTGCTGTCGCTGGTGTGATACGAAGCGCGCAGGTGAGTGTGTTCTGCGGTTACGATTTCCACCGGTCTGTCTGACAAACACAACAAGGCGCAGAGAAATCGTTCCCGCCACTGCGCATTCTCCTTCTGTTTTTCTTCCAAAGTCATCATTAGGAACAAACCACCAGTAGCGAGTATATGCGGAAAGACGGTAAGAAAAGCGGTGGCAAAAGAAGAAGACACGGAACCTTATAAAGCACTAACCTTAATCCTTAATCCACTTTCCAGGAAACAATGAACGATATCCGTCGCTCAAGTCGTTAACAGCGCTAGCAATGTTCCTAAAACAAAGACCTGCTAAAGTATGCCAACGAGCTTTTGACAAAAAATTAACGAAGTACAAAATACCTTGTATATGAAAAATAAACCATACCTGAACATCCGGAACTTTGTTTCACTGTCCTTCAGAAGAAGCGACTTTTGTCTATAAATAAACGTAAATTTAGTCGCTTAGGTATGTGAAGCTCATCGAATTACAGCAATCCGTAAATCTGCGACGAACTCTGTATCTTTTCACAAATCCAACCTCGGAAGACAACGGTAACGACTAAACAATCACATCCCAGCACAAAATCCGCTTATGCAGTTATTATTATATAGCGGAGAACCCGTTACGAGCTGTGGAATGATGAACAGCGGAGGACAGTGAGCCACCGACACATCTGTATCGTAGTTCCGTCAAGAATGACATTTGAAGTGCAAACCGATATAGAAGAATCAGAAACCACTGTCTGCATTATTATCTGACGAGAGCATGAAGAAAACTCCACGTGTAGCCAGTTACTATCTGAGGAGATGACAAAACAGACACGTAGTATGCATAGGGATGCAAACAATGTTGGAAAAATTTGTCAGTCAAAGAACAGAAAATAACAACCTTAATGGCAATTAGATATCCTAAACCACGGAGAAAATGAATAACAATACACGGCATCTGGCTGAACGCGCGATCAAAATCTAAGTTAAAGTCTAAGCCTAACAATAAGCCTAAGCCAAGAGCAAATATCTAGTCGAAGTCTAAGACTAAGACAGAAAAATGGAGACCTCTACTGCAGCCAAGGTTCATGTCTAGGATTAAACACTTTAGCCTAAACCAATGTTACACGATAAGTGCGAGCAAAAAGCCAAAATAAGCTTTGACATAAACCAAAACTTGACTTTAAACCAAAGCCTAACGTTAATACGAAGATTAAGCGTTAAAAATATATAAAGGCCAGAGGAGAAAGGAGGATAGCTCTCGTAAAACTGAACCAGCTGTCCCGCACGGTACTGCCGTTACCAGCCAAGCGGCTGTTGGGGAACTGAGGCAGACTGCGAAACGTCAGGAAACGGAACCCGCTTCAGGCCTTCTGATAACTGGGGAAGAAACAGCAAGGTTACAGGTGCCGAAGATCGACAAGAATACGACGAAGAAACCAGTCAGCAACGGAGCCGCTGCCCATTTTGAACAGTGGCAGACAACGCAGTGGCATAATGGAACTTTAGACAAGGTTTTACGGGAACGATACCGAAAGTGGGGGCTCACAGTCGGAAATTGGAATATATCCTCACTCAAAAGCAAAGAGCAGGAGTCAGATGATATCGCCATAAGGTACCAACCCATAGTTGGACATTCGTTAACGAAGCGCTAAGGTTCTGGAATTCTTAACCTCTACGGGTGGAATCTATTCTACTCAGATATCAGTATCATGACTCGTGCTCAGGCCGGTGTTGGTGACATGTGGTAGAACCCAACCAAGCTCATTGAATCACTGAATGGAAACCTGTCAGGGAAAGTATCATCCTCTGATTGAAGCTACAACAGGCCAAAGCGCTGACCTTGTTACAAGTCTGTGCTCCCAATTTAGGGGGAGAATATCATTCCTTCCCTGAGAAACTGCAGCGTGCTCTGTACGAGTACGGAGTTGCTCATATTCATGGACAATTTTAATGCACATGTCGGACTAGTGACTTCAACAGTAACGGCATGAAGCTGTTGTGATTTTGTGCAAACAACGGATTGTCCATTATGAACATCTTCTTCGAGCATCGAAAAGTGCATCAGTACACCTGGTACCGGGAAGCTTGTGCA